GGATGGCCAGAATCATTAAAAAGTAATTGGTAAATGTTTAACAAAATGAAGAAAAATACAATCCAACATAGATAATGTTAAATCCCTAAGGCTGCATATTGACTTAGAAAACCACAAATTAACATTATCTGTGTTGTGTTGTATTTTATTTAGTTAATTAAATATTCTCCAATAGCATTTTAATCTGGTACATCCATACTGGTCCTGCAGCCACATGTTTGACACCTCTGCCTGGTACTACCTTAGGCTCTGGAGATGGTGAGTTCAAATAGCTTAATTCCTACTTAGCCTAATTTCCGCTAAATTCAAACCCAAAGGTGGCATCAATGCTGGATGAATCCTGGCCTCAATTATCACTGGGATGAGTCTTGAAGGTCACTTCCTCAGATCATTCCTTGCTACATGGTACATTGATGTTGGGCTGGCTACAAAACCTGACATAGGATTAGACTACCAGATTCCTGTGGCATAATCTCCTAAGCTCTAAATTAATATCCTTCACTGAAAACAGAGGCCAAGGCCATAGGCCCATTTTGCAGAGTCACATTGACGGAGAAGGGAAAAGCCTTAAGGCTTTTAAAGTATAGTGTTTTATCAGATGTAGTCCACAGAATCAGAATGCCAGAGTACATCTGAGGAAATGAAGGTAAAAAAAGGTCAACTGAGACCTCCTTGAAGATGTCTCTAGTTCTAGCAACATAATCACAATGCCTTCTCCTAACCACACAGTTAGCAGACTGGAACTGGTTACAAAATGTCTACACATGTTCCACCATCTCTCCAAGATACTTTCATGAATCCTGGAAACAGAGCCTCTAGCTTCTCTTCAACATGGGGAATTTACACAAACCAAGCATGCTGTGTGTGTGCTAATACCATGTTTCACAAGTTTGTGAGGGTACATGGTTTTTGTTGTTCCCCAGCTCTCTTTTCTGTGGACTGGGCTGCTCTCTTCCTTTTAGCTTGGAACCTAAATGCTAAGTTTCAGTTTAATACAGTCAGTTATACAACTAGAAAAAAATTGCTCTCTCGCACTCAGTGTGTCTGTCTGTCTCTGTATGTGTGTGTCTGTCTCTCACTCTCTCCCTCTCTCTCTCTCTTTCTGTCTCTCTGTCTCTCTCTCTCTCTGTTTCTCTCTGTCTCTGTCTTTCTCTCTTTGTCTCTGTTTCTCTCTCTCTCAGATCTGTCAGCTCCTAGAATCTTAGACTTCAGGGAACAAGCTCTTTTGGAACACAAAACAGCTAGCTAATGAGAATCTAAAGCCATTAAGTCTTTCTTTTGAACTCATTCCTCTTTCTAATGGGATCAATATTTCTGTCTTAAGCCCTTATTTGACATAGGGTTATAAAGTCCTTCTAATTTTAGTCTAACGCCTAATGGGATCCTCTGTCCCATCCCCCAAAACCATTTCAGGAACTCTAACAAATAATTTCCTTAGATGCTATATAGGTCCAAAATATCACCATTTTCTTCAAATTACTCTCTCCCTTTAATTCATTCTTGTTGTGTATAAACCAGATGGGAGAAAGACATTGCAAGTCTTCGGGGAAAAGTTGAGTGTCTAAAATTCTGATGACAAAAGTGATAAAATCATGAACTACAGATAATGTCTGTTAGTTATTCTTCAGGTTGGAAGTTTTACTTTTTTAAAAATTTTAGGCAGTGTTTAATTCATTCATGCAACAAAGACTTCATTAGTCTGTGAAGTCCTATGCTCCAAACTAGGGACAGAAAAAAACATAGTACAGATCTTGCTTATAGGCTAATAAAGGAGATATCATGAATACAAGTAACTAAGACACAAGGGAAAAGACAGTAAGTACAGGCAAAGTGCTGTGAATAATTTAAAGAGAGCTGGGAGGAAAGAAGGGAAAGTTTCATGAAAAGGGTGCCTCCTAAAGTGTACATTGAAGGAAGAGAAGCACTTCAAAATAAAAAAAATGAGGCAGAATCTATTGCAGGCATGCAGACAGCATGAGCAAAGGCACAGAAATATGGAATGGTAGAAAAATAGTGTCCAAGAGAAAATAGTGCAGTTTTGTTGGAACAAGGGATACAGGAAGAAAAGTAATATGGGATTAGGATGGAAAAGTAATTTGAAGTCAGATTGTGGAGGGCCTTAAGTATCAGGATCAGAAGTATATTGCTCTGAAGTTAAAGGTTTAAAGCCTGTTGGTTACCCTCAACTTGGTTTAACCTGTCTGCCAAGACAGTTTTCTGTGGTGTGGCCACTGGGCATGCTACAACTTCTTGGAGCTACAGGTGAGAGTTGGCTGCCTGATGAATACCAAAAGTGGATGAGCAGCCCTAAAAAGGGCTCAACAAGCCCTCATAGCAGAGGTGCCAGTTCTCCTAAACCCCCCATACACCTCACACATATATGCACACATATACATACATATAAATGACATATATACACATGTATCACAAGAAGTTGGAAAGTTGGTATTGGAGCTATGGGGAGAGACCAGGAATAGAAAGATAGATTTGGGAGTGATTTGCACAGAAGTAATTACTGAAGTCATTGAAATGAGTGACAATACCATAGGAGATAATATATAGAGAGAATAAGAACAAGGAAAAAAATTGAGTCCTTATTAAATGGATGGGCAGAGGATGATGAAGTAGAAAAAGAGATCAAGATGAAATAATAGTGAGGGGAATCATGAGTGCAGTATCAAAAAGCCAATGAAGCATCAAAGGAGTGAACAACAGTGTCAAATACTACAAAAAAATTCAAGGAGGATGAGGACTAAGAAAGGGTCTTTGGATTTGGTGATCAGGAAGTCAGTATTCTTGGAGATGGCAATTTCAATAAAGTGATTGGGAAGAAAACCACATTATAAGGGACTGAGGAATGAAGACAGCAAAAAAAAAAATTAAAACCATAGCTACTCCATTCTTATTTCCTTCTGGTTTCTAGTAATAAAAAAGAAATGTTATGATAAGATTTAATGGAGGGGAAAACAACTTACCAGTCATAACCATGAATGTTAATGGGGTTAGCTTATCTATAAAATGGGAGAGGATGGAAAAATGAGTTAAAAAGTAAACCCTAGGAGGCATCAGAGTAGGATTTTTGAAAGGATATTTATATGTTAAACATGCTTTAGCTAAATACTTGTTTATAATATCAAGTTAAGTCAAGTCAAGGAAATAGGTATTTATTAAATGTTTACTGTGTACCAGGCACTGGGTTAAACACTAGGGATAAAAACAAAAGTAAAAAACAGGCCCTGGACTGAAAGATCTCACATTCTACTGGCATGCTACATGTTGTGACTGGAGTCCAAACTGCTAATGGTTGCAGAAGAATCATCCATGCTCTCATGCTAGTATCCATTGTGGTCTGGGAAAATTGACAAATCCATTATTAGGCTGTTAATGTTGACATCAACCAGTGTTCAAAACACTTCTCTCCCACAACCTCACCATATTAAATATGGAGGATAAATGGTCATAATTATTTTTGACAATTGCTTGCATTATAATAACACTTACCAATGAATTCTAGACCTGAGTCATAGTCTAGATATGATTTGAAGAAAATGGTGAGGTATACATACGTAAAGATTTAGGTCTTTAGACCAGTTCTCTTCTCAGAGATGCTGAAGTTCTTGTACAATGAATATGTGTATCTTCTAAAGATGAGGTATAGCAATACTGAAGGGATTTTTCTCAGGATGCTGTTTTCTCTCTTCCTCTTAGAACTTCAGCCATTATGTTCCCTGCTGTGAAATTGTGCACTTTTGTTTCAGGCCCAAGTTGCTGTTATCCCAGATCAACAAAATAACTACCATGGGATTTTCAATAAAAAAAAGTAATTCCAACAATTTGTTATGTATAATGAACCCAGTTAAAACACAAAGATTCAGAAGCATATAGGTGGCGCAGTGGATAGAGCACCAGCCTGTCAATCAGGACAACCTGCGTTCAAATCCAACTCAGACACTTACCAGCTGTGTGGCCCTGGGCAAGTCACTTAACATCAATAACCTCAAAAAAAAACCAAACAAACAAACAAAGATTCACAGAGTGTGGAAATGAGGAGTTAGAGTAGAATTTATTATGCTTAAGCCAAAAGAAGAGTGACAATCATTATTTCAGACAAGGCAATAGTAAAAATGGGTACTGTCATGAAAGATAAAACAAGGAAACCAAATTACATTTAAAGGCATCATAAATAATGAAACAAAATCAATTTTAAATATATATGAACTAGATAGCATAACAGCTAAATACTTAGAAGAAAAACTAACTGACTTGCCAAAAAACTTAGATTAAAAAGTTAATTATTATGGGTAAGTTCAACATGCCTCTTAAATTTAAACAAATCAAACAGAAAGATAAACAAGTAAGAAATTAAGGATTAGAACAGGAAATTAGAAGAAGTGAGATATTGTGGACATTGGTGATTTTCAATGGGGATCTTAAAGAATATACCTAGTTTTCAATATCAACAACACCTTACAAAAATTGATCACATTCTAAGGAAAGTAAATGAAGGCGTGTGGGAGGGGGACCCTCCCAGGTGCTGAAGAAGGGGAACACACCCCTTTCAATATCCTATTGTCCCCCATGATCCCAGGCTCATGCTTCAGGTCTCCATCCCTATAGCTTGAACTTTTGAAATTGCCCAATGATGGAAAACAATCAAACCTCAGGGTTTTATGTTGCCATAAGAAACACCTGAAGTGTCAGCTTCTAGGGCAAGGCTACTGCCTGCTTCATGTGAACTTTTCCCACCAATCTTTGTTGCTTTCAACTCCATTTCTCCTCCCCAGGGTAGGATGCTGCCACCCTGAGCAGTATGGTCCATTCATATGAAACCAAACCACAAAGACTTTCACTCAAGAAGTCAGACCATTACTGCTCTTTGCCCCCCTGGAAAGATCCATAAGGGTAAGTTTCCTTAGGAAATATACTCTGTTACCCTCTGAGTGACACTTTGGATCATACCAGATAGGAGGCTTGCTCAGAGAGATGAAAGAGGATAGGTGTCAAGCCCACACCTTAACATAGAAAACCCTGAGCACACGCTGTCGGATCTGCTGTGTCTTTACCCCATAGACAAGGGGGTTGAGTGCTGGTGGCACCAGGAGGTAGAGAGTGGCCAGAAGGACATGGACATGGTGGGGCACATTGTGACCAAAGCGATGAGTAAGGAAAGAAAACATCCCAGGAACATAGAAAACTAGGATGACACAGATATGGGAGCCACAGGTACCAAATGCTTTGAGCCGGGCATCACGGCCAGGGACCCTCAGCACAGCACAGAGAATAAGAGAATAAGAGACACCAATGGCAAACACATCAAATCCCACTACCAGCAGTGCTACCACTAGCCCATATGCACGATTCACAGTGGCATCTGAGCAGGCCAACTTCACCACAGCCATATGTTCACAATAGGCATGACTAATGACCACACTCTGGCAGAAAATAAGATGGTGCAGCAAAATGGGAAAGGGTATGAGGAGAAGAAGCCCTCGTGCCAGCACCACCAATCCAATACGCCCAATGACCCCTGGAGTGAGGATGGTCGTGTGGTGCAGTGGGTGGCAGATAGCCACATAGCGGTCCATAGCCATGGCCACCAGCACACCTGACTCCATGGAAGAGAATGCATGGATAAAAAACATCTGGGTGAGGCAGGTAGGGTACCATATCTCACAGGAGTGGGACATAAGCACAGCCAGGGCCTTGGGTGCTGTGGATGAGGCAAGGATGAGGTCAATGGCAGCCAGCATGGCCAAGAACAGATACATTGGCTGATGGAGTGATGGGTCAATTCGGATAATGAAGAGAATGGTGACATTGCCCACCAGGGCCAGAAGATACAGGCTCCCCAGAGGAAGTGCAATCCAGTGTTGACTCTCTTCTAGCCCTGGGATACCCATCAGATAGAAGGAAAAAGTAGATAGTCCCCAGCTGGAGTTCCCCAGGCTTGTCATTCTAGATGGATACTGGACACTTTGAAAATGGGAAGGAAGGGGAGGAGGAACTGCATTATAACCTCCCCATCTATGAACAGATGTCATTCTGTCCATACAGCTATTTGCCACCATCTTTTTTAAATGGAAACAAACAAATAACTGCAAAGGAGAACAAAGTCAAATACAAAGAAATATTTGCGGGCACCAAGAACCAAGAGAGACATAGATGATGAACTGAGAAAGAAGTTTCATTCCATGGATATTATTAAAAGTGGGAACTGAGAGAACTCTGTGTCTACGATGACACTGGTGTGATCCTGCCTGGAGGCTGTGGCCTTGAGACCATAGAATGTGTTGATTCACCTCTGCAGAACTACAAGAAGATGAGGATCAGCTGCTCTCTATCTCCCCAGTGGACAAAGCAAGAGGAAACTGGTATGAGCTGCAGTGGAATATTTTATAGTTAGATAATAAAAACAAATTCTTCACTGTTGTCACTCTTCTTCAGAATCTCTTATTTGGGTTGAGATCACCAGCATCTTTTCAGGCATCCAGATTTATGACCTTGGAGTCTGATTCATCCTTCTCTCTCATCCTTCTATCTAGTCACATGCCTCGTCTTATCAATTCTACCACTTTATCACTTCTTATATCTTTCCCATTCTCCACACTCACACAGCCACCATCCCTGGTTCGAGCCCTCATCCCCTCTCACCTGGATGCTTGGAAAAACGTGCAAATTGGCCTACTTGGAGCTAGTCTCTCCCTTCTCCAATCCATCCTCCAAAATCTGCCAAAATTATCTTTCTAAAACTCAGGTCTGGGCCATATCACTTCCCTGCTCAAGACTTTTCCAATAATCAACCATTCCAAAAAAACACAGTTTACAATTATACTAAGAAAGTGGCTAAAATATCTATGTCCTCTAACACAGAGATACCATCACTAGGTATATACTCCAAGGAGGTCAAATATTTTTTTAAAAGGCCCTAAACACACCGATCATCATGAATTCATTAAATACATTTAATATTAAGATTACCTTTGAAACATGCCTTCCACTTTTAAGTGTCCAAGATGCAGAGTGAGACATAAGTTTTTGAACATGGCCAATGTAGGAATTTGTTTTGTAGAATATGTACATTTTTATGAGAGCTTTATTTTTTAATTATTTATTTGGGGATAGGATAGTAGGAAGGAAAGATAATGAATGTTTATAAAAATAAATAAATACATGAATAATTATAATGTAAAAAATGTCTATTGTAGGCCAAGCACTCACATGATAAAGATACAAAGACAAAAGTGGAATGTTTCCTGCTCCCAAGGAATTATGTAGGGGAGATAGCATGTGCATATATAGGTATATTTAAATTTTTTAAATTGAAAAGGAAGTAAGAGCTGAGAGAATCAAGAAAGGCTTCATGTGGAAGGTAACACTTGAGCTATGCCTTGGAGGGAATTAAGGATTTTGATATGGAGGTGAGAAGAGAGTGAATTCCAGGCATGGGAAAAACCAGTGTAAATACATAGCATGGGGAAATGGAGAGCTATGTATGAAGTATAGTTACAAGGCCTAATTGTTTGAACCAGAGTGTGCATGAAGGAGAAAAACAAACAATAAGGCTGCAAATGTTGTTGGAAGCCAAGTTGTAAAGGACCTTATATGCCAAAAAGAATTTATGTTTGAAACTAAAAGTAATAGGGAGCCATAGAATATAATTGCATAGGAGAGTGATGAGTTCAGACTTACACTTTAGGAAAATCGCTCTGATGTCTGTATGGGGGATAGACTGGAATGGGAAGAAATTAGAGTCAGAAAGGCCATATAAAAAGACATTTCAATAGACTAGGTGAAAGATGATGAGGACCTGGAAGAGGTGGGGACTGTATAAATGAAGATAAAAGGGAGAGATTCAAGAGATGTTGTGGAAGTGGAAATGATAAAGTGTAGTAACTAATTATCAATGGTGGGGCGAGTGAAAGTTAGAAGTTTAGGATAACACTAAGGTTGTAAAACTGTAAAATTGTGAAAAAGTATTTAGAGCAGCACTTTTTGTCACAGCAAAGAATTGGAAGCAAAGTATATGCCCATCAACTGTGGAATGGCTAACCAAGTTGTACATGAATGTGTTAAAATATTACTACATTGCAAGAAATTATCAATATAAAGAATATACAGAAGCATGGGAAGACTTATATGAACTGATGCAAAGTGAAGTACAAAGAACCAGGAAAACAATTACTACAACAAAGTAAGTGGAAAGAACAGCAACAAAACCTGAATGCTGTGTAATTATAATGAACAAGCCTGGCCTTGAAGAATAGATGTTAAAATACATCTCTGTCTCTTCTTTATGTAGATGAGAAACTCCGGGTTCAGAAAATGTCTGTCTGCCAGACTCCATTGATATATTAGTTCAACCAAACCACCCTTCTCTCTTTCTTTTTTATTCTTTGTTATAGAGGAAGTAGGAATATGTTTTGAAATAAAAGTGATATAAAATTAAAAGATATTAATAATTTTTAAACTCTCAGAGGTTCATTTTTCCCTCAAGAATAAAGTACAAACACTTCTCCCCAATACTTAAGGATCCCCACAGCTTGTCTCCAAACTGCCTTTCCAGGTC